ATACAATAAGCACTTTAAACTCATTTGGAAGTGTTTGATACATTTTCTTTTTCGTTTATATTGTCTTGCGATTGATCTTTGAAGAAACCAGTAGAAATCTCCTATCATGCTACCACCTTTTATCTGCATTCCCTTGTTGATATATCCTGGTAGAATCTCTTGCTGACAACACGAAGATTTGGCGGAGGAAAATGTACAAGTATGGCTACTCTAATATGTTCACAAATATTCAGATATGTAATTAAAGACATTTTTAATAATTTTTTGTCGTATTCATTGTCTTGTGGACGCGCAGATGTCGCAAACTTTCTTCAAAACTGAACATTTCGTCCTGCAGTTGCCCGGCGAGCATTTCATGACAAAACTCACAACAAAACTTTCACGATTGATTTAAAGTAACAGCGAGAAAACATGCTCACAAAATTGCTTCCACACACATCGTTCTCGAGGACCCACAAATCTGTAAAACACTACAAACACATCGTGAAATCAGATAATGCATGGAGAGATCTACGACCGACCTTCGCCTAAATTGTTACCAGCACAAAACAAGAAATCGGATAACCTCCCTTCCCACGAAGGGTCATGGTGTTCGAAATACAGATAGGTACTTTCGTTGATGAATTTTGTGAAAGTCGTAATTACCGAGAATTATACTACATAAAGCAATAAAATAGCGATGCTACAATAACACAAACCTCGCATTATCTGAAACTTTTGAAATATTCGAAAATTTACAGAGTTTGGGAAAATTACACTGAACTCATCGAAAACTTACTTCACCTACTTCAATCATCTCCTGTTGGTTAATGCCAACTTTATCGGGCCTAAGTCACAAGTAAGTTTCGAAACTGTTCCTACTTCGGACTTTATCCACTAACTTTTTGAATTCTATGAAAATTAACCTACTAATTCGAGATTTAGCCCGATTTGAAAATTAGCCGTTACATATACAAACATCAAAATTATCGATCAAGCAGAAATTTTTCCACAGTAAAATGTCATTAGCGTTTGTATTATTTATTTCAAGAAATGTGTTCGGCGGAAATATCTCCTCTACACGGCGTAACAAAGAAAGGATTTTTCATCACACAAAGGAAGCTTAATTAAGGATTCCAATGGCTAAAAAAGTGTCTATGCTCAGAATGTAATACGCACTTCGCATTTCGTCCATGGAACTCAACCTCTGAAGAAAAAAGAGAAAATAAGACTAGAAAGAACCGCCAGTCGTGTGGCACGCCTGCGCGCCGCGCGGTCAAAACGCTGGCGAGGGCAGCAAGGACGACCACCAGCCAGCCGGGCGCCCGCCCTCCGTCCCGCACCGCCCACGCTCACCGCCGCCCGCGCCCGTCCAGCTGACTTCGATCTCCGACCGCGGGGCGGCGCGGAGGCCGGCGGGCACGGGGAGCGAAGGGGGAGAGGAGCTGTGGTTCCAGCCGCGGCAACCCAGCCAGCCAGCCGGTCGGCTGGCTGGTTCGCCCGCTGCCCCCGCCACCGCGCCGCCTCCACACCTCCAGGAGAAAACCCGTTCTAAAAACACACCTCGGGCAGGCGGACGGGCGGGCGGGCGCGCGCGCTGCCGCAGACTGGGAAGACGACGAGCTTCGCTGCGCTGCCTCGGGGAAGCCTTCCCCTTTGTTAGCCCCCGCGGCGCCGAGAGAGATATTGCTGTTGCGGTACTTCACCGTTTGGAAATCGCAGGAGAGCTTTTCCAATTAACAAAGCAAAGGGGAAAAACTACAACATGAATAGCGGCCCGTGATATTGCGTTTACTCTAAAGTCGATTGCTTCACCGCGCCGTGTCCCACATATGTTTAGTTCGTATAGTCGTAGCATACAAATATTCACTAACAATTAATATACATTATTATTATTATTATTATTATTATTATTATTATTATTATTATTATTCATGTGTTCATAATTACCGATTGGTCGAAATGAATAGTCAATCGAAACTGGCTTCCCACTATTCCATTACTTCAATGCAATCGCTTTATTTAACCTAATCACCCTTAGAAGAGTAATATACTCGTAGTACATGAAGAATACCCAACAAATTCAGCGTTTAGGCTTTGGGTTGATAAGCGAATATTGAAATTAGATTTGAAACGTTGCGAACATTGCATACACACGTTTTAAAATATATTTTATAACACTTCTTAAATAAAAAAATCCTATAGCGGGCTATTCATCACTTAAAGCAACATCTAGGAAGCGAGCAGTTCGCACAAAATTACTTATTAAAAAAATTCATTTCGCCAAAATTGTCAACATGTGTATTGTTCTCTAATAAAACTTTCCAAAATGAAACAATCGCGTTTCTTTACAATATTAAAATTGTGCAACACCTTCTGTTCATTACATTCTATAGCATTTATTTCATAAATACAATATTTGTCTTGTCTGTTTTACTGGCTTCGCGTAAATGTCCAACTTCTTGGAAAATAGTGTTAAACATGTTTTTGATATTTTTCGAATTGTTTTTTTAGCTAAATAGAATTAAAAACCGATATTCAATTTTAGAGACTACATTGTGAATTTTAGTTTTCAATCATCATAACATTTCCGAAATGAGATTTATGTGCTCTCTATTTTATACATATAACAAACTATTTTAAATTTGATTGATGGATTACAGTACTTGTTTACTGAATTCTATTACGTGAATATTAATGTACTAAAATGTACATATATAATAACAAATGATACTAACTAAAAAGACTCCCGTTGACATTAATTAGGTTACAACAGGCTGACATTTACTGCTGGCTGCATTCCGCTGCCGAGATGTACTCCAGAAATTACAACATTCAAAAGCCTACTATTATTTCGCCGTTGAAACAAAGTCGTATTTTTGCGAGGAGAGATATTCATCTTAATTGTCATTTCAAATCTTTCAAGAAGAAAATTATAGTGTTTCGGCCCCTCAAAATTTCTCTAGTCACACAATGTCTCTTTAAATGTATTACATTATCTATTTTAATGTATCCATGTTTTCTCTGCAGAAATTTTTCGAATCAATATTTTCTTAAAAGAATGAAAGAAAATAAAAGCCTGAAGTCGGAGGCTTCATAAATATTTGCCTTTCCACATGTGCTGCTGAACTGCGATCCGCGACGAATCCACCTATCGCTACTTTCAGAATCTTCACTATTCTTGCACCTTCGAAACTAAGTTGAATTTTTGCGAAAAGAGTCATGATGCTTTGTTGTAGTTTTAAATTGATCAAGATGACTTATTTTCGTTTCTACAGTTCCTTCATTTTGTTGTTTGATTTCTACTAGCTTTATCAAAACTATACAAATTGATATTTGAAAAAAATAATAATAATAATAATAATAATAATCTACGCACGTTTTCTTGAGATCCAGAATCCTTACAACCTTCTTGTATATTAGATTTGAATTGTGCAATGTGTGCGTGTGTGTGTGTGCGTGATTGATGAGCGTAATTGGCAGCATTTTAAAACTACAAGTATACTTTTAGAACTGTATTTATTTGTTTCAAGATTTAGATTTAAAATAATCAATTAGAAGCGCGTATCAATTATTCCCATTCCAATTAACACTAGTTTCCTGGACGTTTCGGTTTTTGGATGTTCGATATTAAAAAGACATTATTACACATTGCATCTAATATAATTTCTATTGCTGACCATTTTCCAATAAAAAATCTGCAAAATCCAACACTAAGGATCTCGATCGAGGTATTTATCTCGAATGATCGAAAGTGAACACAATCTAATAAACTAATCATTCATTTTTTTAACTGATTCTCAAGTTTTCTTTTTCTGAAAAACCAATTACTTCTTGGAAGAAAAATCATTGTTATGTCAATAAGCGCGTCTTCTTTAGTTAACTTCTCAGCCCTAAATGACAATGAATTACAAAAAAGTACCACTATGCCCAATAATTCCGTTTTGCTAAATACAAAGCAATGAGTAAATAATATTTTTATAGGCGAAAATAAATTAATAAATAATGATAATAATGATGATGATGATGATGATAATAATAATAATAATAATAATAATACATTATGTGATATGCACACAAACGATCTACGGAAGGAAAGTAATTTATTTCCCCAAAAGTCGCTAATACAGTGACATATAATCATTAAGGCTTCATTCACAAAGAACAGCAAGCACTATCATTCCAACAGAACAATGATTGATATGATTTTATTAATTTTGTCAAAGAACAGGAAAAACTGTATGCAGCCTACAGCAGACGTAAAATGCTCCCTCTTTATTTTCAAGTGCAATCAAACTTCAAAGAAAAGTAATTTATCATACTAAATTTTGGAAAAAAGTAATAATATAAAATATTTTAACAAAGCTCAAAATAAAACAAAATTAACAAATTTGCAACGGACGTAAAGCAAAACAAAATATTTTGGTTCGTGCACGCGCAGGATAAGACAGAGATTGCGATCACTCCCTTTGTTCTCCAGAAGAAATGATAACACTGAACCGTCTTCTGACAGTTCGCGCACTTGGCATCTTCCAAGTCCAACCAACGTGTGTTATAATATACATAGAATTACTGATATTTAATGCATTTCTACAACGCTGACGGACTCTGTTTTTCGGGGGATAAATACAAACCTGGTAGTTCACAATAAAAAAAAATTAATAAACCTAAAAACTAATTCTCTGAAACGCAGATACGTAGTCACGCCATTGTAAATTACTTCATTTCCCCAAAAATTGAAGAAATATTTATTTGACAGTATACAAAAACAATGACGGCACCAAACTGACGGCATTACATTATTATAAGTTTGAATTTAATTACGTAGTGTGACATGTCAAAATTATAATTGGAAACAAATGCTAATCGTCACCAGCAAATATTACAAAAAAACAAACAAGTGAATGGTCAAGTTTCGAGGTTACTTTCACTGAACACGGTACATGGACTCATAATTTCAGCGTTCTAACTACACACGTCATATACACAGAATACATACAAGTAGCTTGTCAAACACTTACCTTCTGTTGATCTCTTCGACGATCCAAAGGTGCCTGATCCTAGCGTAGGCCTCTTCCATCCTCTCCAGTTGTTGTACACAGATTCTGGTTCACTGCTCCAACTACATAATGAATCTCCATCAAATCTATCCGAATCTTCAAACGAAAATCTATCTCCTTCTTCCCAGTCCAACATTGTACGGGGGTCATCCCCTATCGCAGGGCTCCCAGCCAGGTTGGCCGCTGGTTCCTAACAAAACAAAGACACAAAACCTGGCATCTACCTTGACCCAGGAACGATGGGTCACTCGCGGTCGCGATCTAGAGGCCACGGACCCTCTTCTCTATATATATGTATATGTAAGACAACTGAAAATCAACTGCTAACACTAAATCAGACGCTGCCAAACTAAACTCATGACAGACAAGTTCAAACCACGACCTTAACTGTCACTCTTAAGAACACAGCTTCTTCGCGATACACCTCCTCTCAAACCCTACCCCGCACAACCTCCAATCCCAGCACTTTGTGGTCTAGTCTACCCCATCGACGACAACAACAAATATGGCGGAGAGCGCTGCCGCTGATCTTTTCATACCAATGATTGTACATGAATCTGTATTGCAACATAACCCACCCTGCTGATTTCCAAAGTTACTGCTTCTTGACGTATGTGACTATATTGTTGTAAAATCCAATACTGTATTCTTTAATGCTTAAATGCTTTCGATCATTATTTATATCAGCAATGGAAAACGAATGAATTGTTTAAAAATATTTTCCAAACATTTTATTAGTTGTAATCACATATTATCTTTTTTCATTTTAGAGTTCTGAATTGCTGAGTTCGTAAGTGTACAGTACATCGTGAAGCATTTTTTTATATTGATATTTATAAGGAAAGCAAAGATGTACACAAGAAACATTTCACACTAAAGAAACTTTATACTAGCGCCATCTGTTAATGATTTTACAAGGGACAATCGCACATCTGCTACATTACATTGTCATCCAGCTTTCCAGGATATGCATATATCGTTTCAGCGAAGCTTTATTGCACTTTTTTTTAAATCATAGAGACTTAAGGTTTTTAAGAGTAGAATAATGAATTAAACAGATGAGAAATGTTTTGACTGCCACTTTGCACTCGAGCGCTGCTATACCTGTGGTGACTATCAGAACTACTTGTTCACTGCGCGCAACAAGGTTTCACTCACATCTACCGGAAACCACTCACTGATGAAACTTCAATCGATCTCTTTAGTTCCGTTGTTTTCGGGCTGGCAGAAAGTGTTTGCGGTGCGTGTTGAAGATTTAACATTTGTAATCCATAAGTATGTTTTAATTTGTGAGCTACGTTAATCAAATAATTTTGTGGTATTACTTCATTTCTGTGTTTGAATTGATATCTGTAGATGTTATTCATACATTTTGATAACGATGGATAAAAATTTGCAACGTGGAGCTTGCAACTTTATTGCAGTGTTTTCCTGATTCTAGTTTATGCCGGAATGTAAATTGAAATTGTACAACGTTTGCAGTGTACGAAGTGTACGGAATTGCACACAAGGAGTTCGGGGCAATATGAATTTTACGAAACTTATCTACATCAATCTTCTGTGTTTTAGGTTAAAGGATGGCTCCCCGAAAGGGTAAAGTTCAGCAGGAACAAGTCCAAGTATCACTTGGCCCTCAAGTCCGAGAGGGTGAAATTGTATTTGGTGTGGCACACATTTTTGCTAGTTTTAATGACACCTTTGTACACGTCACGGATTTGTCTGGCAGGTGAGATTTGAAATCATGGTTTTCAGTTTGTACAAGTCATAAAATTCATAGACAATGTTCTAGATTCAGCATGGTCTCTTTAGGTCTTTTCTGCGGAGAGCGTAATAGGGAAATGGTTTATTTTTTAGTGGAAAACTAATGTTTAATTTGTGCATATGTTTCTTCTGCAGTGTTTTGTTTGTATTTACTGGTGAAATAGATGTTTACTTTTCGTTTAGCATATTAAATATCTTTTATTGTGTACCTTGTCACTATTTGTTTAGACCTTGTATAGAGTATTCACAGTGAATGTAAATTTTTGTGTAGGGAAACAATTGCTCGTGTTACTGGAGGAATGAAAGTGAAGGCTGACAGAGATGAAGCCTCTCCTTACGCTGCTATGTTAGCAGCTCAGGTGAGTTTTGCTTTAGTGAAAGTGTAACTGCACGTAAAAGCGCTTGGCCATTTGTATTATGTGCTCAAACACCCAAACTTGATAAGATTCATATTTAATGTGTCAAGTTTTGTTAAAGGTTTGCTAGCCTTGGAGCTTAGCAATTTTTTTTCTGAACACTTGAAATTGCATCACAAAAGTTAAGATGGTGACAAACGTTAAAACTACTGAAACGATTTTCTGGTTTATTTTATCTTAGTTTACTTCCCTCTGAAAATGCTTTGAAATTAGCTTTTTCTTTACTGAAGGGTTGTTTATAAGCAAGAGGTATTTATCCGCACACTTTTTCTTGATACTCCACAGCAAGGAGAGGTGGGTTCTTTCTACGTCACAGTAGTGTAGTCCTGTTAATGTCATCAATAAAAAACTTCGCAATATAGTGTGTTTTGGAGTAGATGACAATGAGAAACAACACTAGGTTTTTTAAATTTCTGTAGAAATAATTAATAATTGTAGAGACAATTGAACAAGTAGCAATATGGTAGCCAGAGATCGTCATAAAGAGAGCGAGAACTAGGAAGTCTGTTTAAAAGATGATGATCATCACTTTAAACTGAGCCATAAAATAATAATTCATTGGCAACTTATAATTTCTCATGCAATTGATAGATATTTACAAACTACAGCAGATGCAGGACCATTAAAGTAGTTGCTTAAAATTCAATTAAATAAATCTGCAAAATGAATTTACCCTGAACCATGGAGTAACCTGTAACATGGGTTCTACTAA